ATCCGTCCATAAGCTTGACAACACAACGGCAAACATAACAATACAACCAGTCCATAATCTTTACAATAAAACGTGATGACTTAACAAAACAACCTTGTATTAAAGTAATGTCAACTGCATGTACAATCTGTGTCTTTGCTCTTAGTTCCAGTATCTTGGGTGAGTATACCTGGGTCCCTTCAATGAGCTTGTTGGGTGAATATACCTGGCTCCCTTCAAAGAGTTTGTACATTAACGCCCAGTTAAGATTCATAAGCGCATGGAATACGATCAATTCAGACGGGTCAGTACGTGAATCACCTAGGAAGGCATGCGAATGCTAGCAAAAAGATAGTCCTCTGGCTTACGTTAACACTGTATTGCTATAGAGTGTTAACGTATGCCAGAGGACAATTCTCTCCAGCATTTGCATGCCTCCCCAAGTGATTCACGCATGACCCATCTGAATTGATCGTATTCCATGCGCTTATGAATCTTAACTGGGCGTTAATGTACAAACTCTTTGAAGGGAGCCAGGTATATTCACCCACTGATGGAACTAAGAGCAAAGACAATGGGGATAACATCTTCATCAGCGTGAGGGATATCCAAGATCCACATCAGCGTGCGTCCCAGGCAGGCAATGACCTTCATCGGATGTACAGGAACTAGCCATGAATTTACAACGCCATATATACAGGGGAACTTGAAGGGTAGGGGAGAGGGTAAAAGTATGGGGTTTACAAATAAATGAGGAAGAGTCTACAGAGAGTCGGCGATGGGGAGATCCGAAAAAGATTGCGCCGAAAAGGTAATCAATACTATCCTGGGGTTGAACAGGCTTTGGGGATGGTGATGTTGCCGCGTGGGATGTGGGGATAGGTTCCGGACCAGGTTATCATAACTCTCCTCCTTGGGACTGCACTTTTGCAAGGTGAGTTAACTCTTCAACCTTGGGAACTATGCAAAAACAATGAATGCAGTCAAACCTATAATATCTCGGTAACCTTCACAGCCAAGTGCAAGTGAATAATGTTAGTTTAAGTGTTGGATCTATTGAATATGTTAGTTCTACCTGGGTTAATGTTCGTTCTAGCCGTTTCCGTGTTAGTTCTTGCCATTCTCGTGTGTTCTGTTGGCCATGTTAGCCCTACCTAACTGCTTGTTAGTTCTAGCTGCCCTCCTGTTAGTTCTATCCCTTCTCGAGTTAGTTCTACTGCGGGCTGGAGTTATTTCTAGCACAAGTGTTTGCTCTGGTGGCCATGTTAGCCCTACCCTCACGCTTGTTAGTTCTAGCTGCCCTCCTGTTAGTTCTATCCCTTCTCGAGTTAGTTCTACTGCGGGCTGGCGTTATTTCTAGATAGCACAAGTGTGTGTTCTGTTGGCCATGTTAGCCCTACCTAACTGCTTGTTAGTTCTAGCTGCCCTCCTGTTAGTTCTATCCCTTCTCGAGTTAGTTCTACTGCGGGCTGGCGTTATTTCTAGCACAAGTGTTCGTTTTGGTGGCCATGTTAGCCCTACCTCACGCTTGTTAGTTCTAGCAGCCCTCCTGTTAGTTCTATCCCTTCTCGAGTTAGTTCTACTGCGGGCTGGCGTTATTTCTAGCACAAGTGTTTGTTCTGGTGGCCATGTTAGCCCTACCCCACAGCTTGTTAGTTCTAGCTGCCCTCCTGTTAGTTCTATCCCTTCTCGAGTTAGTTCTACTGCGGGCTGGCGTTATTTCTAGCACAAGTGTTTGTTCTGGTGGCCATGTTAGCCCTACCCCACAGCTTGTTAGTTCTAGCTGCCCTCCTGTTAGTTCTATCCCTTCTCGAGTTAGTTCTACTGCAGGCTGGCGTTATTTCTAGCACAAGTGTTTGTTCTGGTGGCCATGTTAGCCCTACCCCACAGCTTGTTAGTTCTAGCTGCCCTCCTGTTAGTTCTATCCCTTCTCGAGTTAGTTCTACTGCAGGCTGGCGTTATTTCTAGCACAAGTGTTTGTTTTGGTGGCCATGTTAGCCCTACCTCACGCTTGTTAGTTCTAGCTGCCCTCCTGTTAGTTCTATCCCTTCTCGAGTTAGTTCTACTGCTGGCTGGCGTTATTTCTATCACAAGTTTTTGCTCTGGTGGCTATGTTAGCCCTAGCTTACTTCTCATTTAACATGAAAATACTTACAACACACAACAACAACGTAGTTGTCTGTAAATGTACACGCAAAACAATTAACAACATATTAACAACATGAACATACTTACAACATTGAATACACAACAAAAACCTTGGAGAAAATTAAAATAATATTTACAAAAAAGGTGAATCGCGTGCATACAAAAGAGCAGCACAAAACCTTGCTCTATATTTTGCACAATCTCCTTTTGAAATTATTATCGACCGTTTTTCGACAATGCTGTTAATGAATTCAATCATAAAAATCCTGCAATCTAACGTTCTGCATTTAAGGGAAAAATATTACAATATTGAAAATGACTATGAAACAAAAAAATGAACAATTAAATTAGAAATGCATGAAACACTTACGGTCCTTGTTGTGGCACGGCAACTGACACAAGACCATGATGCTCCAATTTCCCCAATCCCCAATTACTCTCAATGAAACTCATAAACTTATTTATAAATTTCACAGCATTGGCGGTATAAATGGGGGAGTTGATTGAGGAGTAGTGATAGAATTTTGTCTCCTCTCTCACTAACTCTACCAGGTGCCAATGTCCGGAGCTGACAATCGGGATCAGAATTCTTTCACACTCCAAGAACTTCTGCTGAGAAACATTTTCCTTCATTCGTTTTGCCACCATTTCAAGATTTCCTTCTAGAAATGCTTGCTAAAAGATGCAATAATGTCAACATTGTGGGATAACATAATAATAATATCCACCAATTAGTGAAAAAAACAAGGATATACTTACTGCAAGCCAAGGTCTTGTGACATGTATCTTTCGATCATAACTATCAGTTGTTTCAATCTTGTTACAAAGCCGAATAACAAATGCATCGATCACCTACAAAAATTACCATGAATGAATAAAATAGTTAATATAAATTATTTTATATACAACATCAAACAATCAATAACACAATTGTTTAGAACCTACATCGTCACTGAGTTCACCTCCCGTTAATAGTATATAAGCATCTAAGCGAGATACGCTTGCTTCGGCACACTTCCAAATGTACGTATCACTATATGCAAGTACATTGTGAGAAAATTGCTACTAGAATTAAGTAAATTCAAAGATTATTATTAGAATAAGTCAGTAACAGTTACCTGTTCATTCTCGATTGTAGAAAGTCTTCAATTAATTTGTTCTCATAATCAAACGCCAGTGCCTTACCTGGATAGTCTCTAGATGTAGGTATGAAGCCTTCTTCATTTTTGTACTTTTTTTTCCCATCAGGACTATCCAATATCTGGATGACACGTCTCTTCTTTGTGCCTTCCTTTGGTTGATCTAGAGGCATATAAGGTGAAGTAACAGAGGGTCCATCCTTCCTCTCCCTCTTTCCGACAGCCCGTTTGATAGATGGCGTTTCTCTGTTATTCTCATTACCACCTTCATCTTTTTGAGAAACATCTCTATAGAGTCGAGAAGGCATATAATTAACAAAGAGTTACACAAGAATTATATGGAAAATATAAAAATTAAAATTGCAAGAAAATTTAAAAAACTAAACTCACCGAGCATCTTCTAAAATTCTCACGTCTCTTGCGCTCATCACAAAGTCATCACATAAATCGGCTTCCCCAGTTCCTTCCAAATTCTCATATTCCTTAGCTTCCATATCCTCTTTGATTTTTTTTCTTCAGTTACATTTCCGTCATCCTCTTTCTCCTTGGTTTTTTTTGGCATCTAGCACTACGCTCTTCTAATTCTCGTAATTCTGTAGTGAGCTCATTCAACTCGTACGTCTTCTCCGCAATTAAGAAAATTAATTCAGCTTTCCTTGATTCCTATTTGACCAAAAAAAGCTAGTATTAGTACGTATACTATAGTTGCAAACATAGATACTAACAAAAGGGACATAAAATAATGAACTATTAGAGCAACGATATGTACAAATACTATTGGCGATGCCGTATGAATAAGAGGAGTATTCTCTTGGCCATTATCCGTAACCAACTTCGGGACTCTATATAATTTGTTCATAGTAGTCCTCCTCCACTTTCCAGTACTCTTCACACAAAAGAGCGGCGGTAACCTTTCAATATCTGAAGTGTACTCTAATTCCCCTACTTTTTCATAAAACCAAACCTACAAAAAAGAAACTACACATTAGCATGTGCATAAACAATAATCATTATCAAAATGAAAAGATATACAAAATAATGTTCATGTAACTCACCAGTAAAACGGAGGAAAAACCACCCATGTACCCGGCATTTGAGCGCTGACCTAATTCCCGCATACTAAGAGACTTCTTTGATTTACTCATCTCTTTGCAAAGAAGAGTGAACACCGCATGGCACCAATTATATTTATGCAAAGTTGATAACTGCTCCGCATATCTAAACGCCCACAAGGGACATGTCTTACATGTCCGCGGGCATAATATGAAGCCGATAATGAAAGCCACAATAAGTTTCACACATATTATAGGGTCTTCATTAATCATATCTACAATCATCTCGGCCATTCTATCGCGCTTCCCCGAAATCACCGCCTTCTTTTCCTCATCGGCTTTCTTATAATTCTTTACAAAATAGGTGTAGATTGTATTAGCCGCTGCCCCACTCATTTTTATCGGAATTCCCTCCTTTGGCAATCCGGTAATTCGGTGAATATCATCTATACCGAACACACAATTTTTATTCCCAATCATGAATGAGCATTTATCAGGATTAAAATTTTGAATCAAGCAATCAATTGCTATTTGCTCATTGCTCAAGGATGTGGGTATATTGAGAAAGCTGTGAAAAGGTGTCGTCTGTAGGGCTTTTAGGTGTCTTTCATCTAATTTTATTCGCTTATCAATTAAATCTCGAAAATAACACAAATTGGCCGGAATTCTCAAGTGTGTTATCTTAGCCCTACAAGAAAATTATAATTCAGAAAGAGTTAAAAATTAAATATATTTGGGCAAATTAAGACGCATATTAACAAGTTTATTAACACAAACATTATACATCATGGCTTACAACAAAAATTATAATTCAGAAAGAGTTAAAAATTAAATATATCATGGCAAATTACTTACGAAGTTGGAGGATTATTGCATTTAGAAGAGGTAGGCTTTGATTTTGAAGAATTCGAAGACGTCGACTCTTTCAATTTGTTCGAAGCCATGAGGGCAGACGTCGAGGGCTTGGTCGAGCTCCGGAGGCGGCGATGAACCTGAGGGCTGAGCTCAAATGCCATCGGAGGCGTGGCTGATGACGAGGGGTGAGTTCGATGGCGAGGAGGAGTAGACGGCGCTGACCCGGCGGCGACGCTCAGCGGCGGCGATCTCGGGAGCTGGAGAGGAGGAGGGGAGGTGATGGCTAGGGCAAGGGGACGGCGGCGACGCTGAACGGGGACGTCGAGGGATTGGCCGAGCTTGGGCGGCGGCGCTTTCGGGCGGTGGTGAGGAGGAGGGGGTCGGTGATGGCGCGATCTGAGCGGGAAAGAAGAGAGAAGGGTAGGGATTTTGGGGGATGGGATTTTCAACGAAGGGCTCAGATCTCTTTATTGGGTTTATAATAAACCGCCCAGATC